AGAGAGAGAGAGAGAGAGAGAGAGAGAGAGAGAGGGCATCAGGGAGTATCTGACGCCCTCTCTCTCTCTCTCTCTCTCTCTCTCTCAAACGCGGATGAATCTTCCACGTTATCGCGGAAGATTCATCCGCGTTTGAGAGAGAGAGAGAGAGAGAGAGAGCGAGAGAGAGAGAGAGGGAGGGCGTCAGGGTGTATCTGACGCCGAGTTTGGTCCACCAAACTTGGCGTCAGATACTCCTTGACGCCCTCCTTCTCTCTCTCTCTCTTCCTCTCTCTCTTTCTCTCTCTCTCTCTCTCTCTCTCTCTCTCTCTCTCTCTCTCAGAACCTCTGACGAGAATGAATCTTCCTCTTTGTCGAGGAAGATTCATTCTCACAAGGCATGTCTGATTTCCTTTTTTTTTCTTTTTTTTTTTTTTGCTGAACGTTGTATGTAATTTTTTTGTTTTTTTTGTTTTTTTTTTGTTTTTTTTTTGTTTTCCTTGATGTCCTACCGGTTGTCCGAGGCCCGGCAATAAAGTCCGAGGCTCGGGAACGACCGGCCTACCGGTAGGCTGAGCCACGGGCCTTAACAACCGGCAGGTACTGGTTGATAGATATAACTGAGTTGATCAGCTTCAGCTCAAGATCCAGTCTGCCCCTTCGTACCACAAGTTTTATTCTTAATTAATACTCTCTGCAGTTGGTGATAAGCTATAGTCAGACCACCCAAACTTATGGAACCCTGTCTGACTAGCCTGTTCATAGATAATATAATAATAGAGTATAGCCAAGTTATAACCTTCTGGTTCCAACATGTGCGACGCGTTGGACCAAGACCACCTAAACTTATGGAACATGTCTTGATTCTCAGCCTGGTTCATTTATCTCAAAGCCAAAGCAGGAAGAGGCTGAGCCACCCAAACTTATGGAACATGCTCAGACCTCCTCCTTCAGGAACTAAAGAAACTGACAAAAACCCAAAGTAAACAAGGCGACCAAGCCACCCAAACTTATGGAACATGCTTGGTCCTCGAAAGTCAAACACAATCAGCCCTCACAGTCAGAGCAACCAGACCACCCAAACTTATGGAACATGTCTGGTTCTCCAGGCAATCCAAAATAAACATAGCACTGGGCCTTCCCAAACTTATGGAACTGGCCCAGCCTTTGGTTGACCCGGTCAAACTTCATGCAATACAACCTTTCTCCCACCCTTCCCCCAGATGCAACCCCACAGTCTGCTTTCAGTCAGACAATGAAACTGAAACTGACATTGTACATGCATTCCTTTACTTAGTCTGGTTATGTCCTGACGAGAAAACAAAAATCATAGGGACAGGCATACACACACCAATCAAACTACAGGGGGATAGGCAAACATGGGTGTAGTGGGTTATACAGATGGAGATGGATTACCTGGTGGTTCCATGCCTCCAGAACCTCGCCTAGGTTCCGGCAGAGCTCCCGCAATCAGTGGGCTGACTCCCCACAGAGTCTTGTTGCGGTCCTATGGTTTGCAATCCCGCCTGCTGTCTCCCTCTCAGAACTGGATTAGACTTAGAGTAAGAAAGGCAGAAGATAAGGGTTTCAGACTCTCGAGATACAAGAAGGGGACAACTCAACTCCCATGAGAGGGCCTTGATACCTTCACTCGCCTGAGGGTTCCGCAATGGCAACCAATGTAACAGGTTGTTCAACTTCTGACGTCGAACTGCCGAACTCAATCCCCTGACGATCTTCCGCATCGCAGCACTAACCCCCTACTTGTCCAGTCTGATCACCTCCCCGAACCTCAACACCTCTCCTCAGCCCAATCACAGCCGCATAGCGGCCCGTAACAGTCCATAAGCGCAGCAGCAGTACACAGTGGCGATCAACAGCAACAGCAGCAGTCGTCAACAACAGCAGTCCGCCCACAGTCCGAAGATGCAGCAGCAATACACAGCGGTGGTCAACAACGATATGTCGTACTATGCAGCTACCAGCAGCAACATGCAGCCGCAGTCTGTGCACCGTCAACAGCAACTCTCATCAGTAGTTCGTGCACAGTCAATCAGCAGCGCAGCTGTGCACATTCAATCAGCAGCCGCAACTATGCATAGTCGAAGGCAGCAACAGTCGTTCATGCCCAGCCAACGAACACAGCAGCAGCACGCAGTGGCGGTCATAGGCAACAGTAACAGTCTGTGCCCATCCCGCAGCATTAGTTCGTGCACAGTCGATCACCAAAGTGCCTACAGTCGCAGCCTTTTTCACCACTAGCACCAAGTGCGTCTGCAAAGGCAGAAGAGGAAGAAGGAAAGGGACACTATAGCATTTGGGACCCCATGAGTAAAAAAGATTGTCACCAACGTACTAGCAGAATTGGACGCGGTGATACAAAGGAAGGTGGTAATGGCGGTCCAAAGAAAGGCGAAGGAGGTCGTGGTAGAGGAAGGTGTCCAGGAAGGATGGGAAGAAGAGGAGCCAGTGCCCCAACACCTCTCGAAGACACAACGTAAGCAGCGCAACCTAGCTAAGGGAGGACAAGGCTCTGGGAAGGGGCAGGTGCCCCAAGCAGTGGTAGTCGCGCCCCCGAGTGTGTCAGCCTCGTCAAGTAGTGCGGGTCCTTCGCAAGTACCGGTACCGCCATTCAGGCAGTGGCCATGGCCTATATTCAATACATATGTGCCTTGGGGAAGTGCAAGCCCAGCCTGGACAAGTAGTGCCATACGCTGGGCCCCAAACAAGTATGCCGCCGCTCAGGCTCAACCCACGGCGCCGCCTCCGTCGCCTGCACCAAGCTCACAGGGTACTGTGGCGGCCAGAGGTAATCAAGGCCAAGGGAATCAAGGAAATGGAGGGAGAGGCGGTGGAAGAGGACGCAGCAGGAATGGCGGGGGCCGAGAAGGTCAATGGGATAATCAAGGTTACCAGGGCCAAGGGAATCAAGGTAACCAAGGTAATCAGGGGAACCATGGAGGAGGAAGGACCCGTTTTGATTGGAGGACCACCACATGCCAGCATTGTGACAAGCAAGGCCACACCATACGGTTCTGCAATACGAGACGGGAAGATGAGAGAACGGGACTGGTCTATTCTACCATGGATGGAGACATATATGATCAGTTCGGAGAGTATATCGATAGGAAGGTCCCTGGTGGAGTAAGGGCGGAGGCCCAACGGAAAGTGGCGGCACGGCAAGCACCTCCTGCCACGTTCCGGTTATGGCAGGAGAAAGAGGACCCACCAATTAGAGTAGAAGATGTGGGAAGTGACGAGGAAGTGACCCAGAGGCTATGGGAAGGGGTTATAAGAGAAAGGCCCATAATCGCCGAGTCAGAGGACGAGAGTGAGGAGGAAAGGGTAGAGCCCGCATCGGTCCTGCTGGGGAAGATGGAAGATCTGCTGGACAAACTGAGGAGATACAAACAAAAGTTGGTAGGTTTCTGCGAAGAAGTGAAGGAGTGGAGGGCTAATCTCCCCAAGGTTTTCCTCTATGATTCTGGCCCAGAATCCATGCCAGGACGACCCGGGGTGGCCACCGTGGGGTCAGGCCCTCGGTCGGGAATGATGACTAGACCTCCTACACCGCAAGGAAGGTTGGCGCAGGCTGCCCAAACTCGAGGCCAGGCTAAGGCCAGTGCAAGTCAAGGACCTCCTCGAAAGGACCCTGAGCCAGAGAAGAGGAAGGAAGCTGTGGAAGTAGAGGATGACGACGAGGACGAAGAGGAGGATGAGAGGCTGCGCCAAGAAGAAAATCAAAGGGCGGGACAAAGGGCCAGGAAGAGGGAAAGCCGAGAGGAAGTTGAGCCGGTTTTGCGCGATGTGCCGCCTAAGAAAAAGAAGTATGCAGTCCGGTTAGAAGAAGGGTTTGATGTCGAAAGGGTGATCGACAGGCTGCTTGAAGGCCATAATGATCTTATGACCCTCAAGGAAGTCCTGGCGTCCGCCCCAAGGCTCCGCAATGAGCTGAAAGGAAGACTGTCGAGGCGGTTGGTGCCGAATGTCCATCTCAGTGTAATTCTGCCAAAGGAGAGAATGGGCAGAACCAGGAACGAAGATGGACTGGAAGTGTGTGGCATGCGGTATAGTGGACCTAGTAGTGAAAGGTTCCAAGTGCGCAGCAATGGTGGATACGAGGGCCGAGATGAATATTATCCGCCAAGCTGACACAATCAGATTTAGGTTAGAAATAGACCGTTCGGATTGCGGCATTCTACACGGAGCCAACAACAAGGCCGTGTTTCACGGGACCGCCTCGAATGTACTGCCGGAGATTGGAAGGGTGAAGGTCAGGGCTTGCTTCTTCGTAATGCCAGACGTGGATCATGGCATTCTCCTAGGGAGATCCTTTTTATGCAGAACAGAGACCCTAATGTTCAACAAACACGATGGGTCGCTAATCTTGGTCTTATGTGATCCAGCATGCGGAAATTATGAGATAATAACCTGCCGAAACACTGGACCACGAAGCATCAGGAACAGGCCCAATCCTGGCTCTTTCACCATCGAGGAGTCAGAAGATGAGCGTCGGAGGCTTATGGTTGAACCTGAGGAAGAAATAAAAGGAGAGGCGTTTTCACTCAGCTTGTCTGACGTGAATAAGGCCATGGACATAGTGGCTACGCATGAAATGGCGGACCCAGACGCCATTAAGGCGTTGAGGGAACAGGTTCTGGAGTATCCCCAAGTAGGGGAGATGGAGTTGGTTTATCGACTTCCAAAGGGGAGAAGGGATCCTGCTATGGCATAGGCGCAACAAGCCAACCTTTTTTAGGGGACGACTCAAGCAGGGTTCCCAGAGGCGGTACAAAACGATAGACAAAAAGTGCCGCCCAGTTCCCGTTCTCGTTACTGAAGATGAGGAGGTATACTACGAACGGGAACGAGCTTTGATACGGTAGATGAAAGAGAGCGCCTCGGTGAGGCCATGCCGTATCAACGAGGAGAACAAGGGGAAGCTGATAGTGGGAGAGCCTGACTTCCTACTGCCTCGAGAGAGGACATTAATGATAAAGCTAATGAAGAAAAGGCATCGCGCCTATGCTTTTTGCGATGAGGAGCGCGGCAGGTTGGATGTAGACAAGATCCCTATGATCCGCATCCATACCATGCCACATGAGCCATGGAACTTAAGAGGGGCGCGATATCCTAATCCTGACGAAGAGAAGAAGGTAGTGGATTACCTCGACGGCAAGATATGCACTCACGTCGCAGATTATTCAAGCGGACCCTACGAGTCCCCGTGGTTTTGTTTCATCAAGCCTAATGAGACGTTGAGGTGGGTGCAGGACTTGCAAAGGCTGAATGTTGTGACTGCGCGAGATGCAGGAGGATTACTGATGCAGATGTGTTGTCAGAGTCGTGTGCTGGGAGGCCAATAATCTCCCTTATTGACCTTTACTCCGGATATGACCAGTTTCCGGTCTATCCGCCAGACCGACCAGTAACAGCAATGCATACGCCTCGAGGACTCATCCATATGAATGTGGCTTCGCAAGGGTGGACGAACGTTGTGGCAATGGTCCAGAGACATATGATTCGGGTCATGCAAACAGTTAGTCCGTATATTACGCAACCATATATCGACGACTTGGCAGTGAAAGGGCCGAGGAGAAGAGAGGACGATGGAATCTTGCCAGTAGTAAGGCGCTTTGTCTGAAAGCATGTTCAGGACCTTGACAAAGTCCTAGGCTTGCTTGAGGAGCATAACCTTACAACAAGTGGAGCCAAGTCCAAGCATTGCATGAGGGAAGCTACCATTTTGGGATTCGTCTGCAATGAGAATGGTCGGCGGCCAGACATTAAGAAGACGGACAAGATAGTTGAGTGGCCAGTGCCATTCCACTCGATAACAGATGTTAGGAGCTTCCTTGGCACGTGTGGCTTCTGGAGGACCTTCGTCAAAAACTTTGCTGCCAAGACAGAGCAATTGAGGAAGCTAGTTCGTCAGGATCAAAAGTGGATTTGGGGTGAGGATCAGGAGAAAGCGGTGGCAGGAATGAAGGAAGAATTTCGAGAAGGAGGGCTGGTGTTGGGAGCGCCGGACTATGATGCCACGAAGGTGAGACCGTTTATTGTTGAGACTGATGCTGGGCCAACTGCTTTGGGAGGAGTTTTAATCCAGGCAGATACTGAAGGGAAGGAGAGACCATTACGTTTTGAGAGTCGAACTCTGTGCACAACAGAGGAATTACTCTCAGTTCAAAAGAGAGACTCTCGCTGTCCTTCACTGCCTGCGGATCTTTCGAAACTACATCTTTGGCAGGAGGTTCATATTGAGGGTAGATCCAACAACTCTAGCTTTCTCCCTAAGGAACTATGTTCCATCCGATCCAACGGTTGCCAGGTGGTTAACATACATCTGGACGTTCAACTTTGAGTTGGAGCGAATTCCAGGGAGTAAGAACAGAGCGGACGGGCTAAGTCGCATCAACTGGGATAAGCAGGAAGGGGAGGCAATAGAAGATACGCCCCCAGTTGATGGCTTTTAGGACCAGGAGGAAGACATCCGCCTCCACATTAATAGGTGGTCGCCGCGAGTGCCTAGCTGTGTCGGCCATCCTATTTGGCACGCACCAAAGGGCTATGAGAGGAAGGCCAAACTAGTACTCAAGCCCTTTGAAGAAGAGGACCCTTGGGGTGGCAAGGGCGTCCAATGGATGATGAAGCTGACAATCGCGGGCAATCATAGTCTGGTGGAAGAGATAAGGACGATAGAAGAAGGTCCGGAACGGGTAAGGAGGCATGAAGAATTGATGGGGGAAATGTACCTCCTCGTCAATACACTTCTTCACGAGTCCTTTGACTTGGTAGGCTCGTTAAATCCGGCTGAGGGAGGAGATGCTGTGCTAGAAAGCCAGGATGACGAGTTTGAAGAGGGGGAGATCAAGGAGGCGTTCCGTGCAGAGGAGTACGATGGAATTTACCTGGAACTGGGACTTCTCCTATCGTGCGAGATGCGGGACAGGGATGCAAGCGATAGGGCCCAGAGGATGAGAGAACGTTACTTGGTGAGGGATGGTCATCTCTTCGTAAAAAGGCAAGTAGGAAACCCCAGGACAGTCGTATGCGGCAGGAACCGCCAGATTGACGTTATAGCTGCACTTCATGACGGCATTGCGGGAGAGGACATCGAGGAATTATTGCCACATATGCCAAGATAAGTAAGCTATATTATTGGGACGGGATGATGGAGATGGTTGGTAAGTTTTGTCGGTCCTGCGTACCTTGTCAAGAGCGATCTCGTTTGAGGCTGGGAGAGCCGCTGCATCCAAGGTTGGAAAGGGAAGTAGGGGCCGTGGTACATCTCGACTTGTTATTTATGCCCCTCGGAGATCATGGCTACAATTACATCTTTGATGAGCGTGATAACCTATCTGGCATTGTGGATGGGCGGGTCATTCGTACGAAGACTGGGCCAGTCCTGGTTAGCTACATCGAGGAGTACTACCTACATTATCCTTTTGTCAGAGAATTCGTAACGGATAGAGGATCGGAGTTTACCTGCCAGGAGATGCAGAAGTTGTTGTCAAGATACGGTGTGGTAGCTAATTACACCACGGTCGTGCACCCTCAGGCAAATGCTCCTGTGGAGAGAGGACACAACACCATTACGAACCTGTTGGCCAAATGGACTGAAGGTAGGCCCAATCAATGGCCAAGGTATCTAAGGGCGGCATTCTTTGTTGAGAATATTACAGTAAGAAGGACCACTAAGTACGCACCGGCTACGCTATGGTATGGGAGATACGCTACCTTCCCAATCAAGAGCTTCCTGAAACTTCAAGGCGTCAGGATTTGGAGGTCAACCTGTCTTTCGAAGAACTTTTTGGAGGTCAGCCTGTCTTTCGAAGAACTGCTCGACATTCGAGCACGACAAGTGGGTGCGATTGAGGAAAGAATCCAGGAAGCATCCAAACAAGTAGAGAGGAGTCAGATGGACGATAAGGCTCGCTGGGACCAGTTGGCGCGAGTAAGGAAAGTACCATTGGCAGTTGGGGACGTTTATATGATTCATCCTTGGAAAAGCAGTGGTCTAGGAAGCTTGACAAGAGGTGGCTGGGTCCTTATCTGATTGTTCGATGCGGAGATTTCGGCGCGTATCAGATTGAGGAGTTGGATGGGGCAGAGTGGAAGGACCGGGTATCAGGAACAAGGCTGAAGAAGTTTGTGGCAAGAGAAGAGGTGCGATAGACAGTCTTATTCCCTTTAAGTAGGATAGAGGGGTGTATAGGTTAGAAGGATTGCATGATGTATGTGCTTGGTTTGACCTAAGCTTGCTTATTTACCGCCTGTTTGCTTACCCCGATGTGTGTCTGTTGTCTCCTTCGCCTATTGTGCAGGTCTGACTTTGCGAAGACAGCCATGCCAAGAGGAGGGAGGGGGACACGGCCGCCACGGAGGCCGTTGGGAGCATCAAGAGGATATGAGCGGCATGGGCCTCACCACCGAGAGAGTACGCCAGTGTACGACGATGGAAATATTGAGTTGTTCCTGGACGAGTTTTGGGGGTACGCACACCATATGGGCTGGACCATGACCCAAGCAATCGGGAGGCTGAGAGGAGTTGGCAGATTCGTAGAGCCCATTGCACAGATCCGTAGGGAGGTGAGGATGAGGCCAGAGGTGGAGGCAAGGATGCAGGAGCTGCGACCATCGCCTGTGGGACCTGACGGCAGACCGATTCGCCTGGAGATTGGGAATGCAGAGGAGTTCATCCCCACGTTCGAGCAGTTCATGCATGATCAGGGTATATTGAGAGATTAGTGGGCAAGGACGTTACCCTTGTGGACCCGGAAGGCGGAAAGGCCCTTGGCCAGGCAGATCAGGGACATGGCCCGAGATTGGGAGGGTTGCAGGGCGCACTTGACAGAGGCATTCCGACGGCCAGAGCCGCCTCAGCCCAGAGTAGAGAGACGCCTGAGGAGCAGGAGGCAGAGGGACCCTGAGCCCACAGAGGCCAGGCCATCGCGAAGGGGACGGAAGGCGCTCGCCAGGAGAGAGGAGGAGACGGTACCTGAGACTGAGGGGCAAGGGGCATATCCTGAGTGCAGGTTAGGACCGGTGGAGTTCCATCGCTTTACCGAGGAAGGACAGGGAGGGTCTCCACTGCAAACACGGGAGGAGGTGCCGACATCTGGAGAACCACTGCAGGAGTTGGAGGCACACTTGGACGTCTCCCAGTGGAGAATGCCGCCAGTAAGTGAAAGGCGTGACGAGCCAGCCGAAGAGGGGCTGCGAGAGGAAGTTCAGAGCCCTGAGCATGACAGGAGACCAAGTACTGAGAGAGGACGTGCTGAAGAGGAGGTCATAGAGGTTGAGGAGGATACTCCCCCTCAGACGCCGGCTGTGGGACTGAGACTTGGGAACCCACCGGAGGACGCACCCAACAGAGGAGAGAAGTCACAGAAAGAGGAGGTCCCACCACCACTACCAGAGATGGTCCCGTCGCCAAGAGGAACGGAGGAAGGAGAGACTGAGAAAGCTTACCGGAGGAGAGAGGCCCTTGCCATGATCGACAAACATCTTGCGGCACACGCCTTGGAGCACCCTGACCTGGAGGAGCCTGTGCCTGTGGAGCCACCCCAGGAGTTGCGTCAGGCTGAGAGAGAGATGGGAGCAGAGATCCCGGAGAGAGTCGGTCGCCGCAAGAGAGAGAGAGTACCAGCAGGGGAAACGACTGAGGAAAATCGGGCCAGAGTAGGGAGGTGCTTGGAAGAAATTTGGCAAGAGAAGCAGAGGTTGGAAGAGGCAAGGACACTCTCGGATCCGCCCCCACCACACAGGCCGTATGGAATCAAGGAAATATGGGAAGAGTTCCTTATCCAACATCGCAAGGAATTGACGGCTCCAGACAAGGCGAAAGTCGAGACCTCGAAGAAAGCGGATGAGTATTTGGACCGAAGGATCCGATCCCTGTCCAAGACATCCTTCGACAGATACATGATGTTGGAAGCTGATCTGAGAGGGAAAGAGATGAGGGAGACAAGCCATGGAGTGTGTTTGTTGGCCGTCGAGGCTGAGGTCCGCGAACTCAGAGCATTGGTGGCTAGTCAAGCCGCCATCATTCACGACCTGAGACAACAGCTTCAGGGTAGAATGGACAGGGCAGAGAGCAGTCGACAGGGAGAGCAGAGGCAGCCAGAGCCTGACTTATCAGGGCAGCCATCCGCAGTTGTACCTCAGCAGGGATCGCCCACGGGGAGAGTCATCTTGGAGCCTGAGGAGGCGAAGGCCAAGAGGGAGGCGGAGAGAAAGGCCTTCGAGTTCAGAGCCCCTACTGAACTCGCTATACCGCCTACGGTAACAACGGGTCTTACCATGCCACTATCAGTTGAGGAGGGACTGCTGACAGCCAGCGGCGGGCCGGTCCAGGGCTCAGCGGAAGGATCTATGGATGTGTTGCTCGAGGCGGTCCACACTATGTAGGAGGAGGCAAGTTTATTTTCACCTGAGCAGAGGATAGAGGAGCCTCCTGAGAGTGAGATGGGGGTTGTGATGGAGGATGTCATCGAGGGCAGGCCCCAGAGATTGGATACGCCAGAGTATAGACTGGAGGGAGTTGGGATACGACCTGGACATAGTACTCAGGAGTTGGAAACAGGATCTGAGGAGCCTATGGACGTGCCTCAGAGTTATGAACTGAGTAGGGAGGCCAGTGAGGCACCATCATGGCCAGGGTCTCAGCGAAAGAAGAAGAGGCCAAGAAAATCGTTTGACTCAATCTGTTTCTTCTGCAAAAAAAGGGAGCATAGGGCTTTGCAGTGTCCTAAGTTTCTGAAGAACCTGGCTGAGGGAAAAGTCACGGAAAATGGTGGAAGAATGTATGATAGACAGGGTAGAATAGTAGAGCGATCTGCCGACGGGGGTAGAGCTCAGTTGTATAGGCAGAACCAGGAGGAGGAGAGTGAGTAGGGACTGGTTCGCCTTAGTAGGGTAGACACCTCTCTATTGACCTTGCTTTTATTAGGACAGTTAGGTACCTATGTTGTTGAGTGTACAGATGGGGACTACGGCATAGGATAGCCACTGAGGCTAGAACCATGTAAAATAGAGTGTGTACGCCGAGTGACAGTAGAATTCAGAGTTGTTTGGTGATTTTCTTGTACCGTTGACCATGTACTATATTGAGAGTGACGTGAGTTGTTTTGAGTGAGTCATGAAACAAGATTATGTTGTATATTTTAGGATGAGATATCTGATCCCTGAGTGTATTTCTGAGTTGAGTGCTACTCGAGACTACCCCTTGTACATGACGATCACGCTCACTCTCACATGTGTGGTTTTATCCTGATGTATGATGGTTTTGTGAGAAAGATGTATGAGAGACATCTTGTATGAACTGCCTACTCTTCGGTATACTCGTGCGATCTCCCCACGAGTCGGTGATAGGGTCGGGTATAAGGAGAGGAAGCGTAGTCTGTATTTGTGAAAATGTGAGAATCCTAAGGGGTTTACGAGTCTTTTGAGACTCGAATGCTTGCCATGCCAAATGTTTATTGTTGAGTTGTGAAGGGAACCCATAAAGTTGGTCTCTTGTTTTGAGTTGCATTATGGTAGAGACGCCTCTTTATGAGAAGGCGGTCTTTTGTTTATTAAAAAGCTCATCTCCAGAGATGGGAGATGTGTTAAAAAGGTCATATGGAAAGTCGTCCTAGAAAGAGAAGGGATGACTGGGAGACCTAATATGAGAGGCACCTTTGATGATTAAAGGTGGGTAATAGATTCGATGGCATGGTGGGCTGGTTTGAATGATAAAGTCTGACGAGAAGAACCATGTTGTTGCTTGGCCATTGTTGGAAATTCTTAAGAGGTCGCAAATGGGTTCATTCGGGAGATGTCACTGGGATGTGTGGCTTTCTTGCTCTGATCAAGTAGGGCAGTCATGGCCTTGTGAATCTGATGGTGATTTTGTTTTGTGAATGTGGAGGGGTTGTCGTGTTTTCTCTATGTTGTCCCACAGAGGACTGGTAAATACCCTTTATGTGTGGCAGACCTTTGCGTAGTCCCGCAGTAGGCCTGTTTTGTTACGACACACCGTCCAACCGCTTGTGCTAATCTTAGGGCATTTATGAGAATACCGAGCTAATGATAAAGTTTAGCATCACTAGGGCGCAACCTCTAGTGTCGGCTGCTGATCGGCGTAACCTGAACAACGGGCCTGCGTCGTGCCAAGGGAGTAAAGACTTAAAGGGGTGTGGCCACCTAGGAGGGTTTTACTCCTGCGGACCGGCGTGGGATCAGAGTCGAGTCTTTGTTTGAGTCCTGATTGAATGCTTATCAGGAGAAAAAGCCTATCGTGGCGCAGCCTGCGAGGGCACTACCGCTAAACTAACAAACGCGGTGGGCCGTAGATCTGGCACGATCACCCAAACTACGGTGGGCCAAGATGGAGACCTAGCCTTCCCGTACTAGACTGCAGGAGGGGTATTGAGATAAGATTTATATATATGTTTGATTGTGAGAATTATTGGAGGGGGGCGAGAGTGCCTTCTAAGGTCTCGGTTAGGGCCCGCGTCCTTGGTTAAAATCCTGCTCGCAGGGAAGAGACTAAGGACACTTAACGAGAAGCCGGCGTTTGTCTAGAACGAAGGGGAGAGGATGGTTGAGAGGGGCCTCTTAGACTTACGCCGTAGTACGTATGTCCAGTACACCTGCGTCCTAGTGTCAGGACAATGGAGACCCAGGTTGGAACCCTGGCGGCATATAGTTATAAAGGCTTGGATTGTTGGAGGCCTCAACCTTGCGTCTGTCGGCTAATCGGATTGGTTCTTTTCTCGTTAGCATTTGAAGTTGTGGATGGATTTATAGCTTTTCGATCTTGCGAAGTGACGGGGACGTCGCTTAATATGGTCCGGTAAGTTGTCGGTGCGAATGCCCTAACAAGGGTATCCGCCCTGGGTTTTGCAAGTAACAGGAAGTAAGTTTAAAAGTCTAAGTGTACCGCGCGAGTCATAAGTGTATCTGCTAAACCTTGGCCCTTCGGACTGATCTGACCGGAGACTGGTAACGGCTAGGCCTACGTCACAATTCGCAGGCTCAAAGATCCGAAAATAAAGGCCATAAGCAAAAACAAAACATAATAATAAGAAAGCGACAAGGGCATATCAGATTAGTAGAAGGTGAGGCCTCCGCGACATCTCTCTGGGTTGGGCATATCAAATTGGTAGAAGGTGAGGCCTCTGCGACATCTCTCTAGGCTCCTTTCAGATGGGCCGTAACCGGGATCCCTGCCTTTTTTTGCATTGCCTGACCGCAGTATTTACCCACCACGGTCACAACCATAGACCCTTGGCCTGGGCTCAGAGCAAATACCTGCCCAAAAATAGAAGCAAAATAAAACTAGAAACCAAACAAAAAGGGTTTGAAACAAACGGGCCCGCGACAAAAACTAAGGGGGATAGCCCCGCGGGACCCTCAACCCCTCAGTTCATTCCACGCTCCGCCGCTCCCATGTTGCCGCCGACTGGCCACGATCCTCGTACCTCCGCCGTGTAAGCCCAGTGCCGTAACCTATAGGGCTAAGCCCAAGCCTGGAACCAACGCATGCGGTACCTTATAAAAAAGGGTGCTGCGCAGTCTCTAGGCCTAGGAAAACAGCCCGGCCCTCATTCCTACCTCCAACTAAGCACGCTGTCGCTAGGCACCTGCGCTGGCTTGCCCTCTTTGCGCTATGGCCGCCTTGCGCCCCCACCTCATACGTCAGGCCTACCAGTGGTCAACCGTCCTGAATAAAAACAAACCTTTTATTCCTAATAACAAAAAAGTCAAGCCGGCCAACTAAGTCGGCTACTTAATCAAACGGAGGAATCACGCGCGCGCCTTAAGACTGCGCGCCCACTCACGCTGTACTCTAGTCAACCATCCTATCAATGTAACCCAACAGACTTAGCCACGACTCGTGCGGTACACTTAGACTTTCAAACTTACTTCCTGTTACCTGCAAGACCCAGGGCGGATACCCTTGTCAGGGCATTCGCACCGACAGCGTGTCCTGCTGATGTGTCCTGCTGGCGTGGCCTGCTGATGTGGCAACTCACCAATGCCGCCGCAGGGGGTACCCGAAGACAGATAGAGAAGGTAAGACCAGAGGGGGCAACAACATAGGTGGGGAAGGGTGGGTGGGATAATCGCCCAGATAAGGAGCCACTAATCAAAAAGAAAAGTTTGAACTTTGAAAAAAAAAAATCGAGAAAATAAAAATCCCGAGTTTTGCAAGTTCCGTAGGTCTCCCAACCTCCCTTGACGTGCGAAAGTATCAATGAGAAAACAATTTCGAACTTCAGACTGCCAATGATTATCAGGTAGTGAAAATCATAGAACTGCGAATAAAAAAAAAATTCCGAAAAGAAATAATAAGTATTCGGACTTACTCAGATGAGAATATTCGCAGTTTGGAAAATGGTACTGCAAGAGGGATAACCGGTACAGTGTTTCGAAAAACGACTTTCGAAAAAAAAATATTCTGAATTTCCACATAACGGGGAATTGCAAAAGGAGATCGAAATTTTCAAGAAAAAGTTATTTTGGATTTCCAACAACGAAATTTCGGATTTTCAGAAGAAAAACGAAAACGAAAATTTCAGATGTTGCGCTATTGCGATTTTCCACAACAGAAATAGCGAGAAAACTGAAATCAGACTCGCATTCATTCACACTTCACACGTATGCAAACAGG